TTCTTCATCTAATAAGCACATGGATTTTATTTGAATAAAGCTCAAAAGCAGACAATAATTCAATGAGTTAAATGCAACAATAATAATGCTTGTATAATACTCTTGTTTTTTTATTTCTCAAATCATAATGAGCTTGTGTTGAATATATTGAATGTCTCATATTATGTGTACCAAAAGCTGTGACTTAATTAGCTCTTAACTAAGACACTAGAAGTGCCATCCCCTTTTTGGCTTCTTGTACATTTTGTTTGCAACAAATGGTATTCATTATTTTTCATAACTTATCTTATTTTTGTAACATGATATCAAAGTTAGATGAATATTACTTTGGATGAAAATTTATTAAACAAATTTTGAATGAAAAAATTGAATGTTTTTATTAGATGAAAATATGAATGATTTGCGTACTGCTGGAGCTCCATCGCTGTTGAAGCTGCTAGAGTTGTTGGAGTTATTAGAACTGCTGGAGTTGCTAGAGCTGTTAGAGCTGCTAGAGCTATCAGAGCTGTCATAGTTGTTAGAGCCGTTGGAGCTAGAATTTGATTCTATTTGAAGTTGATTTTAATTTAATCAATTTTTTTTTCTTGTTGGCAATAAAAACAAGTTTTTTTTGTGCCAATATAGCTTGGTATTACTACTCCCCAAATATTACACTTTATAAACCATTTATTAATTATTCTCTTATATTTATTTGTTGCTATTGTATTCATTATATTTGCCAATGGCATCTTCAATGGATCATTGCATCAATCAATTAGATGAAAAAAACTACAGCACATGGACATTTATTATGAAACATTTGATGCGCATCCGTAAGCTCTACATGCATATAGACAGAAGATTAGAATGTCCTACAAGTATTGATGGAAAATTGAAATGGAAATTAAGTGAAGCAAAAGCATAAGAGTTCATTGCACTCAATGTTAAGCCTTCGCAATTGTCTCACATATGCAAATATAATACAATAAAGGAGATGTGGGATATATTGGCTAAGATTCACAAGCCCTCAAGAGTTATTACTTAGATATACTCAATAAAGAAATTGTATAATCTTCAATATGTGGATAGAGAATCCATGGAGATTTTTTTTGGAGAGATTTTTGTTCTTAGGGATCAATATATTGAAGTTGGCAGTAAAATAGACAAACAGAGTATGGCGTTTCTTATACTTATTACATTACTAGAATCTTGGGATCCACTTATTCAGTCGATTGCATCGAGGAAAAGAGAAGAGATTATAGAAGAAGTAGTGCAATCTATTCTTCTTGAGGAGGAGATATGAAAGAAAGAAAAGACTAATTTTCCATTTTCTGCTTTAATATTGTATGCAAGAAGAAAACAAGTGTCAAAGAAGCACCACCTACAACAAAAATAAAAACCTAAGATTGATAAATCTAGAAGTACTTATAAGGCTTATAGATAAAAAAAGACATTAATAAGGTGATGTAGAATGTCCTAAAACAAATAGCAATAATATAGTAAATGCTAGAATTTTTGTTGTTCTTTTAGCTCAAGAGGCATCATTTAATTTAAAAATAATGATTGTATCATTGTCTCAATTATAACATCACATACGTATCAATAGTGTAGTTCATGTATACATCCAAGGAGATAAGAATAAACTTCTCAACTTCAATGAAAATGCAAGTCTATGATAGTGGCATTAGCAAATCATGAGGCTCAAGTAAGATGTATCTAATTGTTTTAGATTCCACAAAAAAATGCATTCTTGTGGTTGTGAAGGAGGTCCATTGGATTCTTAGAGAACGTGATACTTTATTATCAACTGCAATTTTATGTAAGAAAGGTTGCAAATTCAATTTAGATGTCAATGGAGTTGATTGGATTCTACCTTTAAGTAAATTACTCACACAAGGCATGTTAACCGGTAAAGCTTATCTTATGCCCTATAAAATTGAAGAAGTTGCCACAATTTTGAGTTCATCTATTTCAAATTGTACACTTATTGAATGGCATTAGCATGAAGAGGTGTTCGATGTCGGGGACTTTTGTCTTGTCTTCTACATCAGCATCGACGAGATCGATCGTACGCAATGAAGGCTGCAACCGATGCGATCTCGGATCTCGGTTAGCAATTGTATTCCAAATCCAAGGTTGTGCTGTGCTTTATTCGAAGCGGAGGGTTTACCTCGAGCTAATTTGTTCTACTCCGACTGAGATTCTTTCACTTCCATGATTTGTCAAAAGTAGATGCGACGAAGCTACGCTGCCAAAGAGGCTCATTTATGCACATGAATGCACTGCAATAGGAATCAAGCAATGCTGTTTTAAAGTAATGTAAAGTAATGTATATCTATATTATCTTTTTCTCTCCTAAACTAACGTTGGCTTTAAAAAGGCAATAAATGATCGTCAGGGATATAAACTTCAAAATTTGTACGCTGGTTTCATTTATTCTTATCAAGGAAAAAAATAAAATAAAGTCATCGTTAAAAAAAACAACTCCCCTACAAAAATACATTGACATTCACTAAAAACAAATCATTGTTCTTGACGTAACCTTTTTGTATTCTTATAATAGAGCCATACATGGAGCATTCCAACAAATGCTTCGATTCAATTCAGGTGTGTTTGTTGTGATTCAAAATGAATGCCATTATTGGTCCAATCACGTGCTTAGAAACATCAAGAAATAGGACTTATAACACAAATAAAAAGTATAAATAAACAAAGAAAGAGTTGGCCAAAGGTTCAATAATTAATCCATGTATGGGGGGCAGTGGAGGGAGGGGATCATCCAAAACTCGACGCAATTTCGCATGAGGGAATACATTTATCCAACGTCCTGATCCAGATTACTCTTGTTGTGTGCCGAGTATCGAATCAACAGCCACGAGTATCACACCCTTCTGAACTTATAGATGAAATCTGTTTCTGGATGTAAATGTTCATCCATTTTCATTATTCTTGCATGTTCCGCCCCAAAAAAAAAATTCCTTCGTAACAAACTTTTATTATTTTTGAAGTCGGTTATTTTTTAATAATCGTGCACACGATTATAACTTTTTTTTTATTATTATTTTGTATGATTTTTACTTTAGAGATTGTCATCATTATTATTTGATATTGCATCTTGGTTTTAGTTTTAATTGCAGATACAACAAGAAACAAAAAATACAATTGTAATGCTACAATGTTTTTTTCTTGAATATGATCAACTTAATTTTACCTAATAAAATTTATCATTAGAAAATTTGGGTTGATATTAACATCTGTTTCTTGCAGTAGAATGTTATTAACTATTTTTTGTGGATCTTATTTTTTTTTAGAGACTTCCTTTATTTTAACGTTACATTAATTTCAAAATTATTTTTTTTAAAAAAATAGCCATGATGCATTGTAGGACTTTCTTTTTAAAGTGTGTGAATTTTTTTTGTCTTTTATGTCAAAACCTTTTAGTATTTTTGAAACTTTAATTTTACTTTTAAAGTAGGTTTCCAACTTTCACTTGTTATATTGCAATTGGTTACAGTAAAAGCTATGTTATTTATACTTTTTTATATGTTTTTATTGAGTTTGCATATAGAGAAAATAAATAAATAAATAAATAACTACTATAAAATTTTATTTTTATTTTTATTCTATTTTTTACATGAGGTAAACATCATTTGGAATTCTTAAAAAATCATATCAATCAATATTTCTCTTGTAAGTATTATGACAAATTCAACAAATATTGTGTAACATGTGAATAAATTACAAGTACCTACAATTTTTCAAATGAATATAAATGAAATAAGTAGCTAAATTTAAATGTTACTAAAATTTTATAGGTATGTATTTATTGTTTTAATTTTACACATTAAAGAAAATTATATATGTATATCAAAAGCATATAAGAATTGAATGTTTTAATTTAACAATAGAAAAATAAGATTTATTGTGAAAAATATACTAAATATTTTATAACATAAATTACATTTGTACGGATGCAAACTATAGTCTTCACAATTATTGTCTTTTTTAAAAATAATGTGTCATATCTCAAAAATAAAATTGAGTAATCTGTTTCAAAATGTAATGTATTGTTTTCTTATCATGCTGGTTTGATAATAATCTATTAAAAATCAGACTCTTGGTTTTAAAAAAAATTCAAAACAAAAAAGAAAATCATGTAATGTTTGCAAGTTCAATTACTAATAACACATACTTTTTTATCATTTATTTATAAATATACAATTAGTTATATTTCTTAATTTTTATAATAAATTATACAATAATGGGTTTTTTGTTTTCTTCTAAAATTAACTATCCAAATTTAAACCTTTTTTAGTTCAAGAAAGGAGACACAATCAACAAAATAAAAATACTGGATATTGCATTTTTATTTATTTCAAAATCATAAAAGCCTTTTAAAAGATACATCTATTCTAATAAGAACTATAAAAATCATTATAGATGTGAATTTATTCATTCTAAACTCAACCATTTACATATTGATTTTGACATCAGAAAACCCAAATTCCAAAATAAAGTCTAAAAATTCAAGAATAATAAGACAAACACTCCATCTTCTACAACTAAACTACCAACAAGGTTCCAATACAAATCTTCAAAAACTAATACTTATATTTGACTCATTCAGTAAGTTGTTTTCTTTTGTAATATTTATTGTTTCCAACATGAAGCACTCTAATCAGATAATTCAGAGTAATAAAACAAAAGTATCAAGTCAACCAACTAGTAAGATACTTATTTATTTATTTTTACGTAGTCAACCCAACTACTGTGGAAGTTGACCATAAATAAATAAAACACACACTATATACATACACGCACTATATACTTTAACATGTAAGAATAGGATGCAAAAAGAGAGTTCATTGCACTATGGTCAACATATTTGAAGAAATTATCGATAAAAATGTTGACCATAGAGCTTCGAAGAAATTATCGAAGTCGAGTCAAGGTGTTAAGTAAACAAACGGTGAGAGAGCTCGTTGCGCCAAAGTGCGACTTGGAAGTGCGAGGGGGGAGGGGGGTTCAAACAGGAAGAACATGAGCCAGGGCCACATGGTTCGATGGATCTTTCGCTCTCTGCTCCACTCGCCGAAAGCTTCATGGCCATGGTCGAAGAGAGACTCGTGCATGCCAACGAAGTATCAGAGAGACGAAGCAGAGCCTACGAATAGAAAAAGTTCACAGAAATAGGAGTAGCGTGTTTTCGATGGTGGGGACCAGTCATGGGAACGTCCTCTTCCGCTCATCAGTTGGACGCCATAGCTAACCCTCTGCTTCTGCTATGATTGTTAGAGAAGCAGCGAGCGAGGGAGCGCGAGAGAAAGTGAGAGAGCTCTTCGTTCGAGGTTCTGCTTTCGGATCGGGGGACCTTGCATATTGATCTTGGATTTGTGATCGCGAGGTTTGAATGTGATGCGTTCTTCGTTTGATGTCAGTCGCGGTTTTGGTTTGGCGATGTGAGTTGCTGCGATATTTTGCCGGAACCTGGAAGTTGAGAGAGAGCTCGTGCTCAGCTGAGGGGATGAGTGCACATTAAGATCCTTACGCTTTCGAATGAGAGTAGATGCGTGTGGGATGACCTGGTGGCGTTTTTTTGAGCTGTCTTGAAGTGGAGTCGTCAGCTGGTCGGTCGGTGTTGGGGAATGGTTACATTCTGACGGATTTGGCAGTGGAATATTGCGGCATTGCGTTTTGGTTGTCCTTGAACAGATGATCAACACTCGTGTGTCGGAACTTCTCTAGTTGCACGCATTATGGGATAAGACCTTTCACATAGAGTAGCTTAAGGTCGACTGTATTAGCACAGTCACAATGTGGCCATCGAGAGTGAAGAGAGTCCTGAAGGATCGATGGCTAGGGTTGTGTGTTGGCATGTGGATGCAAGCATGCGGAGGGATTTCGTATGCATTCTCTCTATACTCCGGGGACTTGAAGCATACGCTGGGATACAATCAGGAGATGATTGATGGCCTCGGCTCTGCGAAGGATATTGGTGGCAACGTTGGAATCATTTCAGGTCTATTGATAGATCTGACATCTGCTTGGTTCGTGCTTCTTGTTGGTGGGCTTCTTCATTTCTGCTTCTATTTTTTGGTAAGTTCGAAGACTCTAGTAAATTTGACGAGGTTCACCACTTGGGAATTATTGAATCGATTGCACTTTGGCAGAGCGCCTGCCATTCAAAGAATCTCGTTTGCATGGCTTGGAACATCTCAGTTGTTAAAATTGAATCAGCCAGTTTCTCCTATGATTTGAACAAGCCATTCCTTGTTCTTGCAGCTTTTCCTTTCGGCTACTGGCAGGATCACACCGTCGTACTGGCAGGTTTGTTCACATGTTTAATCTCTGCACTCTTAAAAACTTTAGACCTTATGCTGTTCTAGCTGTTGATGAAAATCTTCTGATGTGCTTTATGACTGTTACTGTTACTTCGCTTCTGAATTCCTGTCATGGCTCTGTCTGCTATGTTGCTGTGGAGACAGATGTGCGGCATCATCATGTTAGGCACAAATGGCGCAACGTGGTTCAACACTGCCGTGCTTGTGACTTGGTATTCGCTTAGACGCATGTAATCCTGTGAAGTTTATTTGTCTCTGCTTCTTCCTCACATTTTTCTTCTTAAAATACGGAGCTTGAAGGCAGAAGTCTATTTTGTTTTGATCTTCAAAGAAAAGAGATCCTTATCCTGTCAAAGTTGCTGAAATAAGTGTTGCTGAATGAATGCAGCATGCGAAACTTCCCAGCAGACCGAGGGGTAGTGGTTGGGCTTCTGAAAGGCTTCATTGGACTCAGTGGGGCCATTTTTACACAAGTACGATTTGAAGCATTTACTACTATATTCATCTGTGCATTTTATTTTTTTATTTTTTTATTTTTTGAAGGTAAGATGATCCAACTCTCTAAGGAACGGGAGTCTTTGTTGTCTATATAAGTCGATCCTGTTCTTGCATAGATCAATACATTTTGTATGCCGAAGTGACAACTCCAGTCGATTCGCTTTGTTGACTGATTTCGATACATGTTGTGTGACAATGATCTCTCAATTTGTCCCGAAATTAATGATTTCTGATCTAGGACATATTTTTGCAGGTTTACACAGCAATGTATGCTCCATATACAGGCCCTTTCCTATTATTGTGTGCTACGGTGCCTCCACTTGTGGCAGTAGTATCAATGATTGTGATTCAACCTGTGGAGGCTCCGAGACGTAAAGATGAATCTGACAAGTCCAAATTTTCCTTTCTATATGTGAGTCAAGTAGTCATTGTTTTTAGTTTTGTAAACTTTTGTAAGATGTTACTTGTGCTGATGCAACTGATCCTTGATGTGATGTGATGACCATTCCTTTTTCATTTTCACTCCTTCGCATAGTATAGTGAACTTCTAATTTTATCTGATAATATATATGTTAAAATTTGTTACTTAGTAATTTATTCGTCGTAGTCAAGCCTGCATTTCCATGTCAAGTATTGGTGCTCAGTGAACACAAATAGACTTGTTTCAATTTAAAGATTATTATTGAATCCTGTCAATACCTAGGCGAGCAAAATTAAGTCGCAATATATTCATTTCATGAGCGGTGTGCAGATCATAGGGATTGCGTTGGCATTTTACCTAATGGCAGTGATTCTCGTTCAGGTATGTGTAGGAAGTGGTTTCTTTACTATATGTTATTGTTACTAATATGGTATGAGAAGTGATAAGTTTGAGTGAGATTTCTTCCACGGCGATTTTCATTATTCTGTTACCTCCCTTCAAATTCTCATTACCTTTTTTATTTTATTTTTTCATTTTTGTTTGTTTGTTTGTTTGTTTTTGTTTTTGTTTTTGTTTTTTGTTTTTTGTTTTTTTTTTTGTTTTTTTGTTTTTTGTTTTTTGTTTTTTGTTTTTTGTTTTTTCTAGCAGTGATTGCGTGTTCAAGATACAAGATTTTCATTGAAATGATGCCTGGAGAGTGAGAAGTAATGATCTGATCTTGGGTTGTTTTTGCTGGATTTAACAGGATGCTTTCATTGTAAGCAAGACCGTGAGTCGCTTGTTCATGACGGTAATGCTGGTGATTCTGCTATTACCAGGCCTTATACCTGTAAGTCCAGCATACATCTCAGCCTGATTGCACAAGCTGTCTGTTTGATCCGGTTGACACATAATAGCATTTTCGTTTTGGTTTGGAAAATTCATTTGTCTTATATATATTTTGTAATGTCAATAATGTCCTGTTCGCAGCAGGACTCTCGTGAATATCTCTTGTGGTCACATCTTTACCTGGTTTCATATTTTCATTGGGATACACATGCTCTTGATTTGTATGCATGGTATGGACATCATATTGTTGTGTAGATAAAGGTTGGATCAAAACTGATCAGCAATATTCTGTGTTGTTGCTGTTGATTTAACTGGGCTCTTGCAGCTGAGTGCAGGGGCACATCACAAAGGATACACTGCACTTCCTACAGAAGCGACAAGTGTAAACTCTCCAGGTGCAGATCGAGGGGCGCCTAAACATTCGTTGACTGAACGAAAGCCTCTCTTACAGCACAAGGGATCTTCAAGCATTGATGTGCCTGTCAGAAAAACGGATCGTTTTCCGGACAAGTCTCGTAGTTTAGACACTCCTTCAAAGGCGACTCTGAAGCTTGGGCATGACCATACTTTGTTGCAAGCAACAAGTACTCAAGATTACTGGTGAGTCTATTGATCTTATATTCAAGATCTATGGTTGAAGTTGCTCTGATTTAATGTCAATGATATCTATTAATCAAAGTTAACAAAACATGTTAACAAAAGGAGTTCGGAAACTTTTCCCCTAAGGGTTTTTGAAAGTCCACATGGTTTATTCGTAAAACATAATCAAACTTTTTCTCTGTTTATTGTTAAGTGGGAGGTTCTCAGGGATGTTTATGGATTAGTGTGTGCTGATGAGGACCTTTGGACTTTGATTTGTTCAGGTTACTCTTTTTTGCGATGGGTTGTGGTACTGGAAGTGGGCTGACAGCAATCAATAACCTTGCACAGGTGATACACTGGGTGCACTATTCATTCGACAATGGACTGTCTTTAATCGTGCATCGATTAATTTGTTGTGATTATTACCAAATTTGCCACTTAGCTCGGCCTGCTTCCAAGTTCCTCGAACTGATGTGCCAGCAATTTTGAGATATGATGTGGTTTTTGCTTCTTGTCTTCAGATGGCTGAATCTCTTGGCTCTAGGAGTGTTGGAGCATTTGTTGCACTGGTCAGCGTTTGGAATTTCCTGGGCAGAATGGGTTCCGGGTAATACTTCAAGAACTTGCTTGCTCGGAAATCTTATAAGATAGCTCTTGAGATTGTTGCTCTTGAGATTATTCTACATTAGGTGTAATAGTACTGTACATGGATGTAGAGTAGAGAAGTTACTGATCACTTTCGCTTTCCTAGACGTTCATAGAATGACTTAAGCATCCTGATACAACAATCTTCAGGTGATGGGATTAGCCAGACATCCCCACATATGCACTTCAAACTTAGTTTTCTAGAGTCTTACGGCCTCAAAATGATGAGAAATCTTAACGCCGCTCTTGATTGCAGATATGTCTCAGAATATTACATGAAACAGTACGCAACTCCAAGACCAGTTTTTCTCTTCTGTGTACAAGCAGTTATGGCATGCGCACACCTCCTATTTGCATCTTCAGGTATACTTTGACTCTATAACTCCTATTATCTGTGCTTATAAAACATCTATTTATTTGCAAGTATCTTCTTTTTCTGGTTCTTGAGGTTGAGAATGAAAATATTAATATTTTTGGGGATGAAAGACCACTCTATCTGTATCTCATAAAATTTGTTGTTACTTAACTTTCTACAGTAAATATTTTACTGAGTTGAATGAGACATGTGATTAGTGCCAACAATGCTATATCTGGCTTCGATTTTGGTTGGACTGGCTCATGGAGCTCACTGGACACTGATGGTAGCCACCTCTTCCGAGCTGTTCGGCCTGAAGTATTTTGGAGCTCTCTACAACACGCTTAGGTTTGTGATCGACTGTCTTGTTGTAAAAGTGACTTTCGGATTTTGATTTGATCCAGTATCAAGAGCTTTACATGTTTATCGAATGTTCTATCCATATGGGTTTTCATCAAACAGTAACAAATTATTGAAGGGGTACTTTGTTTGTATTTCATCATTTTGGAAAACTAAAAGTTCGTCAAGCGGGCTTACGTGACAAGCTTAAATTCTGAGAGGAACCCGCAGATTCAACTCCTATTTCCTATTCGGCTTGTAAGCTTAGCACTGCTTTATTGTTTTGAACCGTAGTTGGTTGTGAGTAACAATGTCCTGGCTGAAAGATTGTTTAATAAAACATCCTTTTGATTGCAGTATTTCGGCTACTGTTGGTTCCTACATCCTGTCTGTGAAGCTTGCTGGTTATATGTATGATCAACAAGTGGCTTCTCTCAAAGCTGCAGCGGTAGCAGCGGGTGAAGTATTAAATGGACCTATAAGATGTGTCGGTCCTCAATGTTTCAGGTCGGTACGGCTCTCAAGGGAAAAATTGATCTTCCGTTTTAATCAGGTCTTGTTTTTCAGATTTTTATGATCATGAAGCTGGAGTATGTTGATTTGGTTTCCTATGACTTCTTGCAGCTAATTTTTGTGCTGTGTGCTTTCCAGGTCGACGTTCTTGCTGATGGCATGTGTATGTGGAATGGGGTGCCTGGCACTGACTCGTTTGATCGCTCGCACCCGGAAGGTCTACAGGGATATGTACAAAGTGCAGCAGGCCAAGGACATGCTAGCCAAGGGAAACTCAAGTGAGCACTCACCGTTAATTTCGTCCCATGAGCTACATGAAGAGGATGCTCCATCTGATTCTCCAGTAATGAAGGGTAGCAGCATTTCTGACGTCCAACGGCACCGTCATACTGCGCCAAGTCGGTTGGACAGCGAGTAGTTAGTGCTTCCTGTTGGCATCTAGCACCTGCTCGTCTCACACTAACAGGACCATTTTCATGATTTAGACTCTTCACAAAGTCGCTGAGCGAAGGTTTACTCAGCTTTCTGGTCTAACCTCTTGTTGGAAAATTGGCACAGCGAACCTTCACAGTAATTGGTAGCATCGGAAGTGGTGTGCCTCGTTTCTGTGTGGTCCTTCGGAAGCCCCACAGGTAGTCACAATTTACTACCTTATTATTCTAACTCTACCCATAAAAAGTGCTTAACCCGTTACCTGGAGTTGGTAAACCCCTCATAACGGAATAATCAGAATTTTTAATTGACGCCTTCAATTGAAGGTTATGACTCTAATACTGCAAATCACAAGTTTGGTAATTACCTTGTTAGAACACCCTAACTGATTAGGAAATCATGGCTACCTCTGCTTTTAAGAGCATGTCAAAGTATCTTCTTATATCCGGATCAATTTTTCAGCACACATTCAAACTTCACTTGGCAAAATTTGTAGTTTGAAACAAGTTGCTTTCCATCAAGCATTAAGGCCCAGCACACTTCAAGTTAATGAAATATTTGAAATTAGAACTGTATTAAAATTTAGTTTAAATAATGGTCGATGAACAATGTGTGCTATGTAACTTTTGAGATTCTTTTGAGTTGATAAGAAAGAATCAGTAATGCGTTGAGCTTTTATATGGTAACTATGAATGAACACTATATAGATGCCATGAAAAATCTACTAACAAAATACTTAGATTTAAAAGGTATGTCTTAGCATTTTTGTGAGATCTCAAGTAAATATTAATTATACTTAGATTCTTACTAGTTAACCAAATTTTATAATGTGTGTATATAAAGATTGTAAACAAATAATGAAGTCCTATTTACAATTCTATTTTTTTTTAAATGATATTTAAAAAATGATGTATGGAAATTCTAGACTTGTAATAGTTTACTTAATTCTTATTATTATTTCTTCACTTTGTAGATTTATTTTCTTTAGAGGTATAAAAGCCTTGAGATGCTATCACAAAACTTATATGTCATATTTCACAACAAAATCAAATGCTTAACTAAATAATTAAAAATTAAAAATTCCAAATAATAATTATTTTATATTATATTCTAGCCTAAGTCTTTCTTCTATGTGTACTAAGTGCCTCAACAAGCCATATCAAAGTTTTATAAAAACCACAAGGTTTATGACCTAAGTTTTAAATTTATATATTGCTTCTAAAGTTGGTTCTTTAAAGTAAACATTTGTAAAACAAGTTTAGTAATCAAATGGCATTCCTAAAAGATTTAATAGATAAGATTTGCATCTAAGAAGCTTTTATAATTTTTCTTAATGAAGTTATAAGCTATCTAAAATATTTTTACTTATACTTACTTCTATTTATTTAAAAATTTAAAATATATATTACATGTATAAATGCAAATTCATTTTATTGCTTAGATTAAATTTTGTAGGTTGTTGCATGAATTGCATTATTTATATTACATATGGATCAAAACTTTGCTAAAAATGTATCCAAATTAGTAAATAATAGTTTCTTTTGTTTAAATAATAAAAATGCCTAAAAAAATGTATCTATTATGTAATATTTAAGTAAATTTAGTTTAAAACGTTTTAGTTGGACATGTATAAAATTTTAAATTTTTATGAGTTTCATTTGGTTAATAAAACCTTAAGGTTTGGAACTAATACCATCGAAATTAATTAAAAGGACAACTTGTAGTTTTTTAGAAAGTACATTTATATTCCCAAAAATTATTTAATGTGATGTTATAGTTGAAAACAATCCATCCATTTTTGTATATTCTTAAAAATACTCAAAATAATGGTTAAGGTGGTAAATAAAGGTAATTTATAGATATAACATCATTTTAATTTTTTTTATGCATTGTTTAAATATCTTTCTTTATTCTTATTATTTTTTCCATAACTATAATAGTATAATAATTTTAAAATAAAAAAAGAAGAAGACGAAGGAAAAACTATGATAATGCAAAAACTATATTACTACTTTACAAGAGGGTTATTTGAAATCTCAAAAGTAATTTGTTGATTTTTTAAAAATAATGGATACTCTACTTTTTATTTAAAAAATCAATTTTTAAATTTTTTATGTTAATCTTGTCTAAGTGTAAAAGACCTAAATCTGTACAGACTTATAAAAAATAATATATGCATATGTAAATAAAATGTGAGAAAGAAATAATAATAATAATAATAATAAAATGTACATTATAAAGTGTAGAAAACTTAGGTAGTTTTGAATTAAAACTGGGATATTAAAAAAGAATTAAAAAGATTGAGCATGACTTTTGTCATGCATCTATATATATATATATATATATCTATATCTTTGCTAAGAAATACATCATTTAGAAGCTTCTTAAAAACCTTTAGGGTTTTAAATCAAGAGTCTAATTAAGATAATGTTTCTATTATACTACTATAGAAGTACAAAACTTCAAGTATGGATAATTGATCCAATCTACTACCAGGAAGTTTTTTTGGCGATGCTCAAAGAAGATATTATCTACCTAATATGCTTTTAAATATTTCTATGTAATCCTACTTACTTTGATAGTATAATTGTCTGAGATAATTTCTATTTATTATTATATTAGAAGGCATTTATTATTTAGTATGAAAAATTACAATTTTTGTAATTCATTTTTTTTAAAAGTTTTTACTTGTATTTTAGATTCTATATAGTCTAATAAAATTCATTATTTGAAAATAATAATTATGTAATAGCATAAAGTATTATAAAAAAGAAGAAAAAAGAAAAAAGAAACATATATATATATATATATATATATATATATATCTTTGTCAATTATTTTTTTATTATATATTTTTCTAGATTAAACATCTAATCTAAAATCTTAATTATTTCTATGTTTATTGGATTATATATTTTTAAATAGTACTTATTCAAGTATTTTTTTACTTTTAACGAAGATTGTATATCCATATAGCAAAGTTATCTTGCATTAGAAAATTAGATGAAATCTTAATATAAACAATTTTTGGATATATATTAAAATAATTTGATTGATTTTAGATTTAAGGTAGTATATAAATTTTTGAAGTCTACAATTAGATTATTTAAATTCCAGAATATTAATTGTACTTAATTATAAATCCTTTGTTGCAATGTATATTCTTTTAAGAGAAATAGGATATAGGTCCTATAGTTCCTATAATTAATTTATTGTTCTTCTTACAAACTATGATAGTTTTATACTTGTAGATGTTATTATGTCTTTTAAGTTGTATTATAGTATTATAAAATAATCTTTTAAGTTGTAGTATAATACTATAATCATTAATTACTTTAAATAAAAAATAAAAAATAGTTATGTATAATATTTTATGATAAAATAAATATATAATAAAGATTTTATTTAAAATATTTTCATATTTGTAGTTTTAAAGAAAATTATTTATAATTAATGATATTTTTATTTAATACAAAATTTATTAAATTCAAAAGGCTTAAATACCTTAAATTACAAAATAGTTTGTTAATTAATACTTAAATTTTAGCTACAAAATACAGAAATATTCTTTAATTATTTTATTTTCATTTTTTTAGAATAATAAATATGATATTTCAGATTGTGACGTGTAAAAGATAATAGAATTGACATTATATAAAAATTTCAATCCAAAGATCTAACATTGAAAATTGCATAACTTTACAATTTTTTTTTAGTATTTAAAAAAATAATTTATAAGCAATTTTATACTTGTATTTAGAATTTGTTTACTTGATTTCTCTTTTTTATAGTTATTTGTATCTCTTTTAATTTATTACAACTATTAGAACCATAATTCTTTATATCATTTTAGAAGTTTTTTGCTAGTGAAAAACAAATGTTAGAAAAAAAACTTTTTAATTATAATATTTTATTTTTGATAATATGTTCATCAAAATAAATAAATTTTCCTCAAAAGTTTTTAAAACTTCAAGCAATAAATCTGCATAATTTCTTTAATAACCATTAAATATTAATTTCCTTAGAAAAATTCGTATTACATTAAAATATTATCTTTTAATTTATTATAAAGCTATATTTACTTGATTGTTAATATCTTCTTCTTATGTTATATTTCCCAACTTTAATTATTGTTTGATTATTTATTTATTTATCTCCCCCCCCCCCTATGAATTGGTTATTAGAATTTCAAGAATTTGCCAATAATTTGTAGTCTCATCTTGCCTTTTAAACATTTTCTTTGTTGATGATTGTGTTAGAACTCTTATTGGATGGATAAAAATTATAGATAGATTTGTAGTGCTACAGTTAATATTACCTTATTTCTATACTATACCATGTGATGTAATTTATACCTGTAGAAAAAACATTGCATATCTAATCCTTGTCTACAAAACTTCTGCAAGACTTCTTAAAGAAGATATTATCCACCTAACATGTTTTTACCTACTTCTACTAACTTCTACATATGTAAGTAATACAAGCATATTTTTTACATATTGTTTCCCTTATATAGCCTTAGTAACGCTATCCACAAGATTTGCAATGCACACATCTAAAAAAGGCAAATTTTATAAAAATATTCAAGAATCCTTGTCAAAATTAAAATAAATATTACCAAAAAAGAACATCCATTATTATTCTTCTACAGAGCAAAACTGTCTGGATAATATTTCGAACTGAAATACTTATAGTCATAATCTTAAAAAAAAATTTAATCCACTTCATAGCTTCTTCTCGCTTTATACTAATTCCAAAGAACAAAACACGTAAAAATAAAATTAAAATAAACAGAATTTTTTCACCAAATAAAAACCTTTGTAAGACTTTTGGCAATGACCTTTCAAAATGAACCTTTTAGGTGTAAAGCCCCCCTAAATATATCTAAAGCAAATCCCACAATTAACAACATTGCCGAAAATACTTCGAAGACTTTACTACTAAAACTGCGTGAAGTTGAAACAGAAACTGGATTAGATCCTATCAGAGGGCGTGCACGTATTTTTGGTGAATTGCGGGTTGTTGAGCAAATCTGGGCCTCGCAAATCTCGAGGTGTGAAGTTTCCGGAACTCAAAATGGAATGAACTTCGACGTCGGAGACACAAAATGTTTTTATCTCGCGCGGGTCTGAAGAAACCAACTGGCGACGCGCAATCCGTGTCCGCAATCCATCGTCTAATGGCCGCCTCACCACGATACACGGAGATCAGTTGATACAATCTCTGCAATTACTAAATTGTCTCGAGCTCCAGCTCATGATGCTACCTTGTTGGTCCACCGAAGGTTTGCTTTGAAACATTCATGGCGGATAGAATTGAAGAAGTTTCGAGGAATGGTGGAGGAAGGTTAATGATTTCGAATCGTTTGAAGTGAAAAAGAAATTTTCCACAACTTTCATTCCGTTCTCTGTGCATTGAGTCTCGGCTGCGTCTGATTTCTCAGGTTGTTGTAAGTTCGATTAGATAGCGTGCGTTGTGTTGATGGTGTGCGGTTGCGAGTTCGGTCACGAGAGGCGCAGTTGAGATAACGTGGATAGCAGCATTCTCTCATTCGGTTTCAGAAGGTTACTTCGTTTGTAGGATCGTGAGTTGGATATGATGCCTGCAGGATGGTCGGGTCAGACTGAGATTAGGGGAGTGAGCAATTTAAGGGGGTCGTATCCAGGCGTCAGCGATCTGCCGGTCGACGTCGTGAAAGATTTGGAGGATGTGTTTAAGTTGTTTGATCGAAATGGTGATGGGAAGATCTCGAAAGCAGAGTTAGGCACGGTGCTTCATTTGCTTGGAGATACTCTGACAGATGCAGAACTGGATCAGATGATACGAGACGTAGATGTGGACGGCGATGGCGCAATCGACCTTCAGGAGTTCATCAAACTAAATGTCGAGTTTTTGGATGTGAAGCCATCTGCGGGAGGAGAGAATGGTTCTTCGGACGTGGAGGGTCTTCGGTCGGCGTTCAGTGTGTTCGATTCTGATAAAGATGGCTTTATTTCAGCGGGTGAGCTTCACAGGGTTTTGTCAAGCCTCGGTGACGACAAATCTTCATTGGATGATTGCCAGTACATGATAAGCTGCGTGGATGCAGATGGTGACCAGTTGGTCGACTTCAACGAGTTTCAAAGATTGATGTCTGGTCATCTTGCTCAATGAAAACTCTTATTTTGAACCTGCACAGTAGGGTGGCCTCAGTTAGCAGCAGTTGCTGAAGGAGTAATTGCTCTTTGTGCTAGTTTTTGTCCACACTCTGGAACGATGAGGCTTTAACACGACTCAGAGATTTGCTGCAATCGAGTTCTGAGACAAGATTAAGGATGAAAGATACACATCAGGATACCCAAGCCTAGTCAGTCTGGTTTCGAGCAGTGTCTAGCTGATGAAGTATTTTTGATTTCAAGTAATCGTGCATGATAAGAGACAACTCTGTCATCTGCATTTAGAGTCTTTAGGTCGTTGCTGGCAAACTTCTCTTTGAAATTTAACATGTATTGCGGAGGTAATGAAAATAGTCCGCGTCAAGTAGAAGTGGCCACTCCTGAAGCCAGAGTGCACCATGTCTGTCCTCTTCCGCGGTGAATTTGAATGAGAAAATATTGTAATTTCGCTTGAGACTTGTAATGCGTCAACTCAGAAGCATATTTCTCAGTCTACAAAGACTGGAAATCCTGCGCAGGATCATTTATCGAAAGAGCATTGCGATCTTGAAACAGTGGCAGAGGAGATGTGCAAGCAAACCAGTAGAGACTTACATCAACAGCTACAAAGTAAAGTAAATCGATGTTGTTTAAATTTTGCTCGTATTGAACTTCGTCTACGCGAAAATGAAAACTAAATAGTCCGTAACAACACCAGCTTAACGTATCCAGCTACTCGCAGACTGCTCTTGTTGCGTTTCTAGATGCTAAACAAAGACCATAATAATTCATAGTCCGAGCCTATTCCTTGTTCGCTACCTCAGGACACAGTCCTCGGATACTATTCTCAACTCGAAAACCTTCATCGTAACAGAATCTGAAAATCATGACCTGGTGATTGGACTTCCAGCCGGTTGTTCGTGTCTCCCAACGAAATGTGCAACACCTTGCAGGTTTTTCTCGATGTGATGGAGAAATTCGTGACGCCCTCGACATTGCATTCTGCAATCGATTGTATCAAAATCAGGCTCGCCAGTTGAGAAAAATCAACTAACCGTCACGAACTCATGGTTAGTCGCACACGACGCGTGCATCGATGATCTACCGCCGCTCACACTTTGGAGAGACGGAATTCGGGGAAATAAGCTGCACGGAGGCGCTACCGCCACGACTTCACTTCTCTTCTCAGTTTCATCACTCTCTTTCATTTGTGCTTTCTTCACGCAAGATGCAGATGTCGCCATGGAAAATATTCCTCTGCAGCATTCTTTCAAATGCACTTCAAATTCTTTAACAACTGTAGCTCAGGCTTCAAACGTTTGAAAACGGGGAAGAGAATATGACGGTTTAAAGAAATTGCGTTACGAAAGTGAGTGTGAGAAAGGGCTATCTGTCAATCGAAGGCCACTTGTTTGATCATATCCGTGTTCTTTTTCACAGCGACGCCGAAACAGACAACCTACAGAATATTGCCGCGTTCTGGTACACAAACACAGTGTGAGCATCAGACTCCCAACACATGTGGCGATGGCCCTACCAACCAGATTCCACAGCCACGCACAGTCAAGGTTATCCTCAATCATCTCCACCTCAAATTTCTTATAGTCAATGGATTGCCAGCGACTTCAAGTGAAGGAATCTGTGCAGAAATCCTCATACAACGCAGTTTCTGCACAGTTTTCCTTTTAGCTTATCCCTTGTTTCATTATAGAATAACAAAAATAAAATAGTATATGATTGAGTATATTAAAACTACGCAAGTTGCGAGGATATTTGTATTAAAAGCTTCCAAAACATGAACTTAAAACTTGTATGAATAATAAGAATATGATACGAATATACCAATGCAAAGCTCACCTACAAAGGCAATTTCCTATACAAAGCAATTTCCTAGACAAGGCTTGTACAATAATAGAATCCCTCAAGCGAACACATCTTGCTACTTTCCTGCGGGGACTCCCAAACCGTATCTCATTACGCACGATTGAGAACTGGGTTACGAACCAGGTGGTGGACCGGGTAATAAACCCGGTATCAATCAGTCAGTCCATTTCAGGCATCTAGTAGATGGCGAATGAACGCGTCACACGTAGACGACGTCGGCGTTCGAGGGGGGTGCGGTCCCGCCGCCGCCCCTCGCCTTTTGAGGAGAGAAATTTCATCGCAATTGTTGAGATTCCTAGTTGCTATTCTGCTCCTGTTTCTGAGCCTCACTTTTTCGTGTTTTTGATGACTAAGGATGTCATATGGGGCTCAGTCTTTTGATGACTAGGAGTAGGTTTTCTTAGGGTATAGAGCTCCAATGGCTCGGAAGTTTAGTGGGATATCGAGGTTCAAATCGTGAGTTTATTGAGTGTGTTGAGTGGTGAAAGCGTCGCAGACTGATCGACGAGAACGTGAATTTGTGAGAGCGGGTTGGATTTGTGAAGTGTTGGGAGGAAGAGGGGTGCTGGGTTGTTTGTTGCTTGAACGTCACATTGTTGGATCGTCATTGAAAATGAAGCTGAGGTTGAGAAGCCGTAGCAAGAAGGGATCTAGGAGCGCGGAGCATGTTGTTGTTGTGGATGCAGATCCTGTTTCCGACTTCGTGAAAGAACTGACGGCCACATTTGGGGTGTTTGATAGAGATTCCGATGGGAGAATCTCGAAGGGTGAGCTTGGGACGGTGTTGAGCGCTCTCGGGGACGAGCTCAACGACTCGGAGCTTGATGAGTTGATGAGTAGAGTGGACGGCGATGGCGATGGTTTCATCGACCTACAGGAGTTTATCGCTTTTCATACTGAGAAGGGTTCTCCCGAAACCAGCCCATCCCGCTCGGGCAGTGGCCGATCGTGTAGCCAAGAGAACGATAACCTGCAGTCTGCTTTTGATGTTTTTGATGCTGACAAAAATGGCTTCATCTCCGCCGAGGAGCTTCAAAGAGTTATGAAGAGTCTTGGCGACTACAACACTTCCTTGGCGGAGTGTCGACATATGATCAACTGTGTGGACAAAGACGGCGATCACATGGTGAACTTCTCAGAGTTTCAGTGCTTGATGGCAGGCGCTGATCTGTGTTAAGAAAATGGACGAGTCGAGTCTGACAAGATCGATGCGTTCTGTAGAAATTCAAATGTGTTCATAGGAAGAGTTTCTGTTTTTTTGTTCCTTACGAAAAACTCTTGTACTTTTACAACAAAAACCTGAAAGCTGATGCTCACGTATATAAAATTTCTAAATTCATAAAAATGAGCTTCAGTACGTGTCCATCGACAACGTTGGTGAAATTCGTCGCCAATCGACATTACACGCTTCGGTGTTCAACGTCGGCGATAACCTCACCTCACCACCCACCACAGATGTCATGCTTTGTGCACAATCTCGATTTCTAAATACTCCTAAATACCGTTTGCGATCCAAACTGCACGACTTAGAACGGAAGCGAACGTCGATGTGAACCGCTCAGAGGGAATGTGCGTGGTAGGCAATCACCGGCAGCGAGGGATAAAAAGAGGGTCTTGTGTTGAGAACGTGTTGCTAGCCGATCAAGAACGTAGAGAGAATTCCCATTGTAAGAGTCGCACCTTTCTCCAACATGAAGCCATCGGTGGCCCATGTCCAGAGTTCTACAGCTACGGAAACGTCGACACCTGCTCTCACACACACATACACACGACATGCGGAATGAGGCGGACAGCTCCCCAACCACACCTTCGGCGACCAAGCAAAGAATGGGACTCACGATGTGCTTCACCACAGCTACAGAGACGCAATCTGGATGGAACGGATTCCCGTGTAATTTTGCCGTGACGTGAATATGCTCCGATGTGGGTCGTCCTCAGATGGTACGGTGATCGGACAGAAAGGATAAAAGCAACATCGTATCATCGGAATGCTCAATCTGACACGGCACCGAAGCTACTTAAAATGGTGGTTTAACTTGACCATTTCTGTGTTTGGTGATCCGTGTTTGGCAATGTCGTGGTTTTTACCGCAAGCATCGATCGAGCACTGGGTGAGTGAGGGAATGGGATCTCATTGGTCGTGTCTTTGAATTGAATAGTGTTTTTTTGCATTAAGAAGTAAAAAGAAACAACGTGAGATATGAGAAAATTGAAGGTCAAGAAGAAAGAGGAAAAGGAAAGAGTAGAAAAGGGAAGAGGGAGGTGGAAGAAAGTAAGCAAAAGAGAGACAAAGAAGTCTACCTTTCCAGAAGGTGGGTGATAAATAAATAAAAGAGGATCTATTTTAGAAGGTGGGTGGGTGGGTGATAAACTAGAAACTCATGTTGAGTTACATTGAGCATGCTCTGTTGAGTTGTTGTGATTAAGTTTGTTGTGTTCACAATTTTTGGATCTGCAAAACTTAAGTAAATAGAAATAAATATTAGAAAAATGTATAAAATTTGAAATAAATTACAGTAGACAAGAACAAGTTGAAAACATAAACATCAAAAAAACTTATAACAAATTTCTTGTGAGTGGCTTAGATCTTTAATTCTACTAAAGATCCCATGTGGCTATCTAATCTCATCCTAGATATTTTTTTTAGTTTTAAATACCTATATTAGAAGTATTCTACAACTTGTATACTTGGATCAAAAGCCTTGTGGAATTTAGGAAGTGTTTACATGGCCTTTATGTTAGCTAATATATTTGAGACTAAGACAAAGGTCATTTTTAATTCAATAAATGTTTATCTTGTACTTTATAATTTGGTTTAAAGCTCTTCAATAATTTTTATTATTTGATAAGATTATTTTTATTATTTTTATTTTTTATCTAATATATCCTAAAAATACACAATAATAATATTTTTATAAGTTTGTTTAGATATATTTCTTTTATATCTTATTTGTAGTAACAAGCATTTGATCATTATTTAATATTCTGATTTAATCAAGTTTAATTCAGAAGAAAAAACAAAAAATTACAAAAGGATATCTTTTCTTTTCTTTTCCTTTCTTATTTCACAATGTAGAAATTTATTTTATTCATATGTATGTCTATATATATATATATATATATATATTTTAGATGGATATCCTAGTAAATCCCCATATATCAAAGACACAAGAATAATAAAACAAGAAATTAATAAATACAAAATTATATATATAAGGTAACTTTTTGATCCAAATTTATGTTTGGAAGACTAAAGTATTTCTTGTCTTGCAATAGCAACTAGATTACATAGAAGCTTTGAAGAGATGTTTTGAAACTTATGAAATATTTCAAAAGTATGAAAGATCTTTTATAAAAACTTATAGAAAACTTAGAAAGGTTCAAGATAGTTAAAGAATCTTTGAATAGATTAATGAAGATTTTAAAATACTTTATGGTAATAATAAAGAATGCATTATGGTTCTAGATTTTTTTTAAAGATCTGTATAAAACAATATAAATATAAATAAAATAAAATAAATCTTCAAAAATATTTTGAAAGATACTTATAATTGTAGATTCTCATATAATTGTGGTTTTATCTTTCAAAAGATTAAAACATTGACCAAGATTGTTTGTTCTACTTGCTGACTTGTATTGACTCCTTATCTATGGTAGTATTTTATTTCTAAAATAATATTAAACTATAATCCATACAACAACATATCTAAATATGCCTTTGATATTTTAAACAAAAGATTTGACAAGGTATAAAAAAAATCTATAAATTTAACCATGCCAAATATATTTCAAAAAAATTTAGAAAACAAATCCTAAACTACAGTGAAATAATTTTTCTAAATTTTACAACCGCAAATAAACCTAAAATTCCTTTAAATAATATCTTGTAAAATAAAAATTAATTAGCATCAACATTAAAAATCCTATTTTAACAAAGCTCACAAAGTCCAAAGTGTCCATACCACGATGCTTTGCGGCCGCGGGACTTCTCCACCTGATCGATGTTTCTGATGAGAGAGTCTTTGGATGTGGAAGCTGGTGAAATGCTCTAACTTTGATTGCATCCGTCGCCATTACCCAATTTCTCAGTGACTTCATCGACTTGTGAATCATCCAGATCGACGCAGATGAGCAAGGATCAGCCTTGAGCTCATCATGGGAGACGTTGAATATGGTTGTGAGTTATTCTACAAGACTCCATGGATGAGATTCCACTTGACCAGACTCCGAGGCTGCTAATCTTCGAGAAATCAGCATCTCTCATCATGAACAAAGTTTGTTTTTTCTAAATACTGACAAGATGCGGAACAGAGATTCTTCTAACCAGGGAAACAGGATCAGCCCTAGAATGAGCTCTCGGGAGGGGTTCAACTCTGAAATGGCTTCCAAAGGTGACCTCGAGGATTTGACTTGCAAGGCACGATTTAAAGCTTCCGGAATGTATGACCACCGCAGTCAGAACACCCAACATGTGTTTGACGGCATGTCGTCGTTTGAAGAAATTTCTGCAGCAGCATGTCGCTGTTTGCGGTCTAACAACGCTGCAGACATCTAGTTGAAGACCAGCGCTGGCCACAGCGACTACGTTTCCACACACTCCGTTCAACTCAGAATGGATAACGTGGGAGGAAAGACAGCTAGGAATTTCGCAAGGGTAGCATGTGCGGGACTTACACGCGGCACACACATGAAACGAAAATTGCCGAGTTGCGACACCGTCCTAACCGCGGAGGTTGTACGGAACACGGAGATGCTGGATTTTGTTCCACTCCACTGGCTGGTTCGCAGAGTTTCACGCAGATGACCAATTAATTCGAAGAGCTTCTAACTTGGCTATTGAGAACCGTCCTTTAGCCCTCTGGATGTCGGTGCCGGCCAATCGAGGTATCACAGCAACTTCGGTGAAAGTAAACTAAACACTGTAGCCCGTGGACAAGCGTGGTTCCAGTGCTTCAGCTTGATTTCAGTCAACTTGATTGTTGATTCCGGATTCCGGTTGGGAACAAAAACCGTGTCAAATGTCGGCGACTGTATTAGGAGTTATCTCGGTGGATGTCCAGTGAGAAATCCACTGTCGTGCTTCGATTCGGTGCTCGATCCTCCGAACTGCAGGGTGTCCACTTGCATCATGAACTGCAGGCCTCCTTTACGCGTACTTTCTTGGCAGATGCCATTGGATGAGGGCAACCGATTGTCCAGGAGAGCTATAAATTGAAAGGAACGCAAGTTCAACGGACAAGTTTGTCTGCAATTGCATCTGTTTATTTCAAGTATTAACTGTTTGTAGTTCAAGGTTTGCGAGAGAGTGTCCGTGTTTTCAAAATACTTGAGTGTTTGATTTCTAGGTTTTTGAGCTCGTGCTTCACTTAGAGGAACGGTTTCTTGGACGTCGATCTCTCGAAAATGAAGTTCATTAGCTCCTTAAAAAAGCTTGGCTCCAAGGCCCGATTCGGGAGCTCATCCCGGTCGTCGTCCCCGAACGTATCCAGGAGCTCGAGTCGCCGCATGGAGCCAGCAACAGGCGCCGATTCCCTTGCCCAGTCACTTGTTCAAGAATTGACAGCCACATTCAAGGTTTTCGACAAGGACAGCGATGGCAAAATCTCCAAATCCGAGCTCGGAACTGTGTTGCGCTCACTGGGTGACGACCTCACCGACGAAGAACTCACTGAGGTGATTCAGAATGCGGACGGCGACGGCGATGGTTTTATCGACCTTCAAGAGTTCATCAACTTCCACACAAGGGGTGATACTGCTTCTGGCGCCGGAAGTCCTCAGACGAGCAGTTCCGAAAACGCAACCAGCGGTGAGAGGCTTGCTTTGCAGGCAGCTTTCAACGTATTCGACGTCGACAGAAACGGCTTCATCTCCGCGGAGGAGCTTCAGAGGGTTATGCGCAGCCTCGGCGACATGAGTACGTCGCTGGTTGAGTGTCGCCACATGATCAACAGCGTGGACCAAGACGGCGACAACATGGTGAACTTCGCCGAGTTTCAGTGCTTGATGTCCAGTGCATTTGTCTGCTAACAACACCGAAAACACTTGTCCCAATTCTCTGGTTTAGTTAACTAAACTCCACACTCTCACCGCCTGGACAGTGGCCGCATCAAACGAGCAACCCACGGTTCAGAAAAACAAAACTGCTGATTCTCACACCACAGCGCGTGCTCGTGACACTGTGCGAGAAATCCAGAACACGACGTGTTGGGTCCTCGTCGAAGAATCATACCGTTGCAGTTTCCGAGCCCTATGAGCAGCCATCTCCAACACCCAATCGAGGAATCTTAGGAAGTAAAACAATCTGCGAACACGCCGAAATGCGACTTCTGGGTGTTTCTTGCGTCAACGTTGCTGTAGCAAAGCACGACTTCAGTATTCAAAACCCACATCAACGTCTCTTTATTTTTTTATTCAGGAGACAGCTCTTCGGTGACACATTTGTCCACTGTTGCAATTCCACATTTCTATATTAAAAAAACAAAACAAACCTTCATAACTCTATTTTTGGGTCATGTAGAGTAACTTCGTATTTTTATGAATATTCATGCAGTTGCATCTGAAAGTGCTCACATTTTATATTGTAGGTAATGGGGGGACAGTGACTTTATTGAGTTTTGAATTGGGATTTAACATGGATATGATGGTATTATTATTTTTTTTATTTTTTAGTTATTTTGTATTAAGCTATTGCTTCACCTTTCAGTCTCACCCAAAAGTTACTACAAGTCATCAGAATGATCAAATGAAATATTCACATAGTGTAGGGACTGTCTCAATAGGGCTCCCATAAGAGTGCAGTATATTTTAGAAATTATTTATTATTACAAATTAATTGTAATAGTTCTTTTAAACATTAAAAATGGTGAATTGTTATCAAAGTGCATTGAAAAATATTGTTGCATGTAAGAAATCCCATTTGTCATGCAATGACATACTTAAATATTCTTCTTAAAGACAATACAAATAAAGCAATTGGAAGCAACATTTTGTTGTATACTTCACTATGAATTTATTGAATGATATCACATTTTGTTTTAATATAGATAATGGGTGAAAGAGAGAAGAAATCATTATATAGTAGAAGATCTCATTTTAGAATATAATAGCAAATTAATTTATAAATCTAAATAATAGTCAAGGAGATAGTAAAATTAAAAAGTGCTAATACTACTTTTTATAAAATATGCTTTTATTTACTTTATAGGACCATAAATAAGACAAAACAAGATAGATTAGCAAAATAAGTATTATGGATATCTTTCAAGGACAAGAAGTTGATTAAAACAAATAATTAAGTGAGATTTTTTCAAAAAGGTATGACAAAATAGAAATAAGGAAGTATATATTAAAAAGAAACTCAAATAGCTATTGTCAAATGCAAATTGATATAATATGTTTTAAATTTCTTATTAAGAAAAAAAAGAATTATTATTGTTAAGAAGATTTCTGCCTATATTATAGAAAACTCAAGCACATTGCTTAGTATCCTTCAAAGAAACAATGCACTTATAAAATGAAGAGCATAGTTACCAAAGATGATAATATAACAAAAAATGAACCCCTCTAGCTACAATAGGGACTCTGTGGCTCAAATCTTATACAACTCTTAATAAAGGTCATATTTTTTCCTTACATTCATCACCTTGTTTTACAAAAGAAGTTTGTTTAGGATCAAAAAATCACAAATTCTTAGCCTTGTTGGATTCAAGAGTCTTAACTTGTTTTATAGACAAAGATTTTGTCAAAAAATAAGATATTTTTTTAGCTAAGAAAATCAAACTTATGCATGTAGAAGTAATAGACAATTGTTCATTGTCATTTAGAGATGTTATACATGAAACTATTCTTGTAGAAGTAGCAACTAGTTATCACATTAGTTTAGTAATATTTAATGTCATTAGATTTCTTTTTAGTTCAATTATTTTAGTATTATTGATGTTAGAAAGGTATAACTCTCAAATAGATTGGATTTCTTGCAATCTATAGTTTAGCCAATTTGTCAGATGTCCTTTTTAAATATTCTTAACTTGCATCAAAAAAAAAGATGTAGCTTTTGATTATTAAAGAATGATCTTCTTGAAACTAGAGTATTTTCATCTTCAAGCAATAAAATCAATTTTGACTATTGATTCAATCTTTATCAAGCAAATTCAATCATGTCCTTTAATCTTCTTGTTCATGATATCAAGAACAATTATTCTAAGACTTATAATACTTCTAAGTTTGAATTCAAAAATAATCTACTCTATTTTAAGGAATAATTATATATTCAAAAAAACAAAGCACAATTACGTGTTCTTTAAGCTTCTTATGACTTTTTAATAGCCAAAGTTTTTGGATACAATAAAACTTTGGAGCTAATATCTAAAGATTTTTGGAAGCCTCAAACATAGAAGCCAATTATGATTATGTCAAGGACAAGAACTCAATAAAAAAACAATTCAGACAAGTGAGCCTTTACTCAAAGAAAGGTAACAAAATATAAATAAACAAGTATGTATATTGAAAGAGAAATTGGAATGGCTATTGCCAAAAGACAAGAAAACTAGAGACCCTTGAAACTAGACTAGAAGCAAGAAAGGAGTTGACAAGAAAGAAGAAGGCTTCATTCTTATCTCTATATATACTATCTAATTGAAGGCTACGTGGCGACGTTCTATAGGACCTCCAATATGTGTTGACTTTGTAAGACACATGCTTTGACTTATAAGGCAAGTTTTTCTACGTGTGGGCCACATAGTTAGCTTGATCTTCAAGCTAACAACATGTCTGGCACATGGCCAACTTATTGACCACGTTTCTAATCCAAAAAGTCAATTAAAGACACCTATGAAGTCAAAGCAGTGCCTATAAAGCTTCTAGGAAGCTTCCATATTAAATACTATAAAATTAACTTACTTTTAACTACTTCTATATGTAATTACTAGCTTACATGAGTATGGCCGTGACATTACCTCCCCTTCTAGGGACGAGTTCTACGAGGAGCGGTTATCATATGTTGAAAAAATCTATAAAACGACGAATTATATTTGCCACATATTTTGATCTTTGTTCTCTTCGAAGATGATTGATAGGGCCTCTCAACCATCAGTAGTGTCCCATACCAGGACGGGAAGACCACCCAGTTATTTGATCATTGTTGAGGCCTTCATAACTTCCTTCGAATAGGATATTTGGAATACCATCAAGAGTTGTTCAACCTCTAGCAAAATTACCAAACATCGGGAGTCCCTTTCTAAATCGTGATACCAAACGCATTGTATCTCGCCATCTATTCGAGGAAGAACATGTTGTTCTTGAAGATCTTCATCTCAATTACGTCATCTTGAAGGTTGTGACAATTGTAATGTCTCATCCGGTAGGTCTACAAATGAAGTCTCTTGAGTCGAATCTGCTGGTTGTTGCTCTCCATCTCTTGAACTTCACAACTACAAAGAAGCTACAAACAAGGATTGAAAGTAGAATGTTATCTTGCATAGATGTTGTTTCTTTTATAAAGAAAGTTTTCATCTTGATTTTGATGGATGTCGTCGATGAAAAGCCTCCATCGCCTTTACTGCATTTGCAAGATTTTTTATTGGCTCCCATGTGCATTCACTAATATCATAAGCGCGCCAATGGACAAGATATTCCAATTTATTTTGACGCCGCCTTGAATCTAAGACTTCTTCTACTTTAAACTCTTCATTATTGTTCACTTCTATAGGAGGAGGTGGAGCTTGTCATCTTCTTGGTATGTCCACTATCTTGTATGGTTCAAGAAGAGACACATTGTCGTGTTGTGGTTCGGCTACTATATGAAAATAATATAATTATGTACTTAATATGTAATTTATTAAGTAACATGGTGAGAGCCATGTTAATAGATTTTAGTTGATTGTAGAATACAATTTAATTATTACTTTGAGAAGAGGTTGTTTAAAAAGATTACTATAGAATTTGTATAACTTTAATTTCCTTTTGATAGTGGCTTTTAAGATTGGTTTTGGTTGATAGTAACTTCTAAATATTTAGAGTCACCTTTGTTAGACATTGGTGACATTTGAAAACTTATTTTGGTTCTTTTATTTAGTGTTTAGAGCATACATTATGTAAATCTTATAAGAAAAAGGATTGAAGAAGGATTTTGGTAGCAAAGGGAGGAATTAGGGCACCAATATAGATGAATGGAGATGAAAAATAAAAATCTCCATTCTTATTGGTCAAAAATCATGACCAATGGGCTTTGAGGAGGCTACTTGAGGCCATATTAGGGATTAGGGTTAGTTTCTCGAGCCCATTCGAACTTTGAAGGCTAGGGTCAGAAGGTTTAGGTTTTTGGTTAAGGTTTTGGTACAAGTTTTGTGTCATTTGGGATTTTTATGAAAAAGTTATAGGCGCTCAAAGTTAAGATGTTAGTTTTGGACCTACTGTCACTCTTTTGAGCATAATGCATGCGTACGGATGGCAATTGAGGATCGCCGACTGCAACTAGAGAGAGCACTTTTGCGGCTATACTTTTCACATATTGCTTACTAGATTCTAAGTTGAGGTGAAGGAGTTATTGGATTTTGAAGTCAGCACATGCAATCTAAGGGTAGTTAGTAAACCGATTTACTAGTGTTTGTCTCTTGAGCTATATCTTGAGCAATTTGACAAGGTTTTGGCTCAAAATTTCAAAGAATGTGTAATTTCATGTTAGTAAACTTTTTGCATAAGTTTTATGACTTTTAGAGTTTGGATTTTTGAGAAATAAGGAAAATAGTTTTTTGGGTGCTTATAAATTAGGGTTTGGAGTGTCTGCTAGGGTTTCTTAGATGCGAGAAGATCGGGAGTGAATTTGTAGTTGGTTTTTTTGTGATAAAAGTTAAAGGTAAATTAAACCTATCTTATAAATTTGAAACAAATTGAACGTTTAGATCAATAGTTATGATTTTCTAAAGTTCGGGGCGAGAAAATCCTTCGCAGAAAAAATATATTTTGAAGGGATTTTGTTACATTTGGAGTTTTATACAAAAATAAAGGAGTTTTGGAAGCTAAGAAAAGAATCATATAAAGGTTTAAGATACACT